CTCAGGTTAACTTGAGCTATCTTCATATTTATGCTGCTATAGGCCTATGCTGCTGGAGGACATAGGGACCACTTTTCCTCGCTGTGCTTCATTCTATCTATATTCTCCAATTTTACAGTATTTGTTTGTACAGCTCCTAACTTTAAGTCCTATCTACTTTTTTCCTCAAAGTGGCATCTTCTTGCCGTAGACTTTATTTGTCATTTTGTATACGCAAGTGTAAAACAAAAAGAAATTTCGTTAAGAACAGCTCTCTTTCATTTTTTTTAAGGTGCAGCCTTGAAAAAAAGGGGAAAAAATATATATGTAAAAACAGTAATATAAACATATGACTGTAAATTTACAGTTCTAACATTTATTTTTTATTTTTTTTGCATCATCTTGCCAGTTCCTGTTTGGCCGTGGTACCATCCTGGAGGAAGAATCAGCTGACTTCCTGCCATCAGCACCTGCAAATATAGATGATAATATTTATAATTTGGATCTGTTTTTTAGTGCTTACTCCTGTTTCTCTCCTAGACATAGCCGTGGGCTCAATTGTTATTGTGACTAACTATATGTGATCTCTTTCATCATTTTTGACATAACAGACACAAGTCTGTTAAACTGTTTCTTTCCTAAACAGAGCCACCTAGGGGGCTAGTTTACTGTTACCTTTTTTAACATAAAAAGCATTCATGCATCAGTACTTCTATGGACCTCTTATATGTCTGCTTCTGTCTCCTTGAACTCCAGTCAGCCTGTGAAAGAAGGCCACTTACACTAAGCCTGGTTCACCTGGAAGTTTCTTCCTGTTATAAGTGAGTTTTTCACTGTCCGAATAAGGAAACCTGTGTTAAAATAAAGGTATAGGAGTTCCCAGGGAACATGTGGCTGAAGGTGCTTACCTGGAGAGAAGCTAAAAAACACTGGATTAGATTGGAAGATGAATGGAGCAAAATACAGGAGAATCATACAAGAAAATCTGCCATTTAAAACTGGACTGAGGTTCACCTTGGAGCATGTTTTTTTCTTTATAAGAACAAACTTTAATATATTAAATATGGCCTTTATCTAATGAAGGCAATATTATGTCTAAAAATCTGTTGACAAATAGAAGAATGTCTCGTCTTTGCGATCTGCGACTGACCTTTCAGTGCCAACTACTAAAAAACAACGGATAGAGTAAAAGGGGGAAAATACAAATGGGCATTTTATGGGAAGACTTCTGAAGGTATTAGGGCTGGATGATGTTCATGAATTATATACACTCACCGGCCACTTTATTAGGTACCCCATGCTAGTAACGGGTTGGACCCCCTTTTGCCTTAAGAACTGCCTCAATTCTTCGTGGCATAGATTCAACAAGGTGCTGGAAGCATTCCTCAGGGAGTTTGGTCCATATTGACATGATGGCATCACACAGTTGCCACAGATTTGTCGGCTGCACATCCATGATGCAAATCTCCCGTTCCACCACATCCCAAAGATGCTCTATTGGATTGAGATCTGGTGACTGTGGAGGCCATTTGAGTACAGTGAACTCATTGTCATGTTCAAGAAACCAGTCTGAGATGATTCCAGCTTTATGACATGGCGCATTATCCTGCTGAAAGTAGCCATCAGAAGTTGGGTACATTGTGGTCATAAAGGGATGGACATGGTCAGCATCAATACTCAGGTAGGCTGTGGCGTTGCAACGATGCTCAATTGGTACCAAGGGGCCGAAAGAGTGCCAAGAAAATATTCCCCACACCATGACACCACCACCACCAGCCTGAACCGTTGATACAAGGCAGGATGGATCCATGCTTTCATGTTGTAGACGCCAAATTCTGACCCTACCATCCGAATGTCGCAGCAGAAATCGAGACTCATCAGACCAGGCAACGTTTTTCCAATCTTCTATTGTCCAATTTCGATGAGCTTGTGCAAATTGTAGCCTCAGTTTCCTGTTCTTAGCTGAAAGGAGTGGCACCCGGTGTGGTCTTCTGCTGCTGTAGCCCATCTGCCTCAAAGTTCGACGTACTGTGCGTTCAGAGATGCTCTTCTGCCCACCTTGGTTGTAACGGGTGGTTATTTGAGTCACTGTTGCCCTTCTATCAGCTCCAACCAGTCTGGCCATTCTCCTCTGACCTCTGGCATCAACAAGGCATTTCCGCCCACAGAACTGCCGCTCACTGGATGTTTTTTCTTTTTCGGACCATTCTCTGTAAACCCTAGAGATGGTTGTGCGTGAAAATCCCAGTAGATCAGCAGTTTCTGAAATACTCAGACCAGCCCTTCTGGCACCAACAATCATGGCACGTTCAAAGTCACTCAAATCACCTTTCTTCCCCATACTGATGCTCGGTTTGAACTGCAGGAGATTGTCTTGACCATGTCTACATGCCTAAAATGCACTGAGTTGCCGCCATGTGATTGGCTGCTTAGAAATTAAGTGTTAACGAGCAGTTGGACAGGTGTACCTAATAAAGTGGCCGGTCAGTGTATATTTTTTATGTTCCTCAGATGATCCACTAGGGGGCAGCAGAGCTCGTATTATTTGAACCAAAGCATCCTTAGAGAAAACATGAGCGAGCAGATTAACAAAAGGGAAACTGATTAAAACAAGCTTTAAAAAAAAATTTGATTGGAAGCAACAAGTTGTCAGATTTTTGTGTCCAATATTCAATATTTTCCTTTTTTTTTTACAGAGAGGCAGAAGGTTTATTTATTTATTTATTTTTTTGGACAGAAGCTTGTTAACGCTCCAGTAATTTAATCCCTCCTTGGAGCTGCTAAAACTCAGACTGGCAGCTCCTTTGTGAGATTTGTATTTAAACGAATTAAACAAGGTCCAGCCTAATCTGGCTAAATGAGTGCTAATTTCAGAAGGATTTTTTATTTATTTTGCTCTGTAATGATGTCAGCTGTGTACTGAGTCAGAACAAACATCAAGACGATGGAGGGGTAATTGACTCCCAGGAGTTTTTTGATCTCGCTACCAGGCCTTCCTGAAATCCTTGCCCAGACACAAACAAATAATTAGCCCCCACCCCCCCATTTCTAACAAAACTGGGCCTGCTCGGTAAACGAAGAAGACGAGCTCAGGTCCCTCATCAGCTGAAGTATTACCTCTTTCAGCCTTGCTAGGGCTCTCATTAGAGCCAGGCAGAGGATAGTCTTATTATTTTTAATAATCTGCTGTTTTTGCTGCTTTTTAACCCCTGGAGACCTGCAGTCTGCACTTTCCCGCTGTGATCATCAGCCATCCTCTGTGTTCAGGCCTAATGATGCTCAGTCATCCAGTTGGCAGGAGGATCTACACACAAATACCTTCTTTTTTTCATTATTTAACAAATATCTACATCATGACTGTGTTCACGGCTCATGTTTTTCCCTGCTTTGTAAAACCAAGCTAATTTATCAGATGGGAGCAGCACTATTTTGTCTCCAGCAATCTCATCAGCATCGTAAGGGATGCTGTTAGTGTTATTGCGTACAAAAGTCAATAATCTGTTACTGGCGGCAGTCATTAGAACTGGACTGTTGGCTGTAAATTTGGCTAGGGAAGCAATATGTTAGCCAGGGTTCAAAAAGCAAAGCATTTTTTAGTGTATTAGCACCAGCGGAAATACCGGTGCAAGAAGCAGAACCTTGTGATGGGAAGCTAAACCAAAGATGTGTAAGGAAACGATCATAAAGAGCAGATAGATGGCGATTTAAAAGCAAACACTGACCAGTTTCTATCTATTTGTGATGTACAATATATCAAAAACAAAGATTTACCCAGATATTGTCCATTTATCAGAAGTGCTCCCAAGCTAAAAACAATTAACTGTTTCTTTAGGCTGCAAGGCAGAGAAACTCTACCCTAAAAATCCAACATTTCAACAGATTTATGGGATTTCTATTTGATTGAAGCATTTTCAATTGGATGACTTCGGCCAAACATTTTGAGTATCCTTCCACAATGTGTAGTTTATATGAAATCTTATTTTTTCCTCGTAACAACTTGGATTGCTGGCTTATATGTTGGGATGATGGTTCCATTCCGCATGAAACTCTTTGCTGATGATACCATTATTTGTGACATGCATCGATACTTCTTAAATGGGACAATGCTTTCAAGCTCAGAAGATTTCTCTCTTCCATGAAGTTTAGCAGCATTCTTTGGGACAAATACTTCAGTTTCACTAAACACACCTCCAGAAAATAGGATTTTTTTTACCTTTTCTTAGATGTGCTCTAGCTTTTTATGCTGGTTTTCTATTATGGCTTCTTCCTCTATGAGCGGCTCTTCAGCTCATGTGATAAAAGAGTTGTTTCTCTGAGGACAATGACTCTTACTAGATTATCTTCATAATGACCTTTACTTTTGTTCTTGGGTCAATATGCTAATTTTAAACCAAAGCAAGGTCTTGAATGGACCTATGGAGGCTAAAGAAACCACCAACCGATGAGGGTTTCCAGAGGTTATTTCTGTTTAGAAATATAACAATTAAATAAGAAAAGAAATAAACAGGTTTAAGGTCTAAATTGAACTTTTTGACACAGTTCAAAGGTAAGAAATACAAAATTATTTTGATCAAATATTTTGATACATTTACAGCTATTATTATTTTTGTGAATTAATAGTATAAAACACAACAAAAGTCAATTCACCTTCAAGACACCTCAGACTGTGTGTATCAACATATTTACT